CGCTTGGGAGCGTGGTGGCGCTCCCGCCAAGGGTTCGGATCCCACATACAGACCAGTTCCCGCTCACTGGCTGAGCGAGGTGCAGAGCAACACCGAGGGTTGCGATCCCGTTGCCGGTCCCGGTCCAGTACGGGGGCAACACTGAGGGTTGCGATCCATTGCCGGACACGGAAAAAGACAAAAAAAAAAAAAAAGAGAGAGAAACGTTGAAATGCCAAACTGTTGTCATCTAAATATTGGCATCCTCTTGTACATCATAATGCTAGCAATATGTAAAATGTGGTTGAAATAATTAAAATGTGTTTTTCTATGCAGTGGCTAGGTAACACTTTATAGTTTGAAATATGATATATAATTTATATTCCGTATGCAAAATTTCTGTTGCAAATGAAGACTCCAGACTGGAAGCCTGTATCACAATTTAACTGATAAGTGTATTTTGCCTATTTTACAAAAATTACATAAGGGGATGCCAAATATAAGCAAAGTCTCACAAAATGAAGTTTTAAGTTAATGTTACAAGTTTATAATTTCATGTTGTGAAATTACATTGCAAATCTAATTCTTATTTTTATCATTTCAGTTCTTTAAAACTTACATTTTCCTTGGAATTACTCTTTTGCAGTTGAGTCGCTCTTGACAGCTCTAAGTGAAGTGAGGAAGGAGATTGAAGGCTTGCAGTATAGGGAACAAAAGCGCATTGCAATTCAGGGGATAATTACTGTTATAAAGTATATTCCCCCTAGTGGTGCAACTGAAAGTGCCTCAGCATCAGAAACACTCCGGGTATGGTGCCAGAGAATTAATAGTATATCTCAGAAAGCACTGTGATCATAATTACAACTGTACCTTGTACATTTTATTCAGAACATACATGTATTGACTTTTAATGATATAAACCTAAGAGAAAAAATACATTTTAGTTTTTTGTTTGTTTCTTTTTTCTGTCATTTATTTTGGAGCAGACTAAGGTAATAGCTGCAGCCTCTGTTATTTCCCAAAACCCTTAAAACTTGGCATCTTGTTTTTCTTTCTGCATAATTTTAGCTTATCATGATTGTCTTAAACTTCCGGGTAGCATATATGACTACATTGTTTTCCTGTCTTTTGTCCAGGCTAGAACTACAGGAAAGCTTCCTCAGGAAGTTTTTACCTTTATATCTGACATGGTAGTTTCACCCACGTTCTATAAGAGACAGCAATAACTCTTATAGGATAAATGGTCTAATAGAAGAGGCCAATTCTGGAATCTAGGCACAATCAAGACAAATAAGTTGGTTTTTTTCCACGAGTTTATTTTTTACAAACTGTGTCTAGGATTATTACTATTCATACAAAAATAAATATTTTATCCAATTTTTCAGTTATACTGGTATAAGGAAGACTTTATCTTCCTTTTAAAAAATATTTTAATAGGTAGATTTAATCATCTTTATAAAAGCACTGTTAAGATTGCAAAGTTTTGCCACAATGTTAAGATTATGAAAAATGGGTAAACTAAAATTATAGTCTTTTAAGCGAGAAATAATTTTTGTGAATTAATCTAAAATGTTTTCTCTGAATTGTTGGTTTAGAATGCTAACCAACCCTCCACATCCCAAGCAGCTAGAAGAGAAAGTGAAAGTCAGAAAAGAGATGGTCAACAGCATCAAGATGACAGGCCTATGAGTTCTCAGTGTTTTCAAGCTACATCTGCATGTTTGTGTCCAAGCAAGAAAAAAATAATTCTTCAAGGCCCATATGCTAAACCGTAAGTCATTTGTATTAAGTACAGTATACGCAAAGCATGTTTTATCTTTTGATTCATCTCTACCCTATAAAATAAGCAATTATGATAATAGCTGTATTAGTTTGCTAGGGCTGCCATAACAAAGTACCACAAATGAGTGGCTTAAACACAGAAATTCATTGTCTCACAGTTCTGGAGGCTAGAGTTCCAAGATCAAGGTGTCGACAAGGTTGGTTCCTTCTGAGGACTGTGAGGAAGAATCTGTTCCCTGATTTTCACCTAGCTTCTGCTGGATTTCTGGCAATCTTTGGCATTTCTTGACTTGTAGAAGCATCACCCCACCTCTGCCTTCATCCTCACATGGAGTTCTCCCTGTGTTTTTGTCTGTGTCCGAATTTCCCCTTTATATAAGGACACCAGTCATATTGGATTAGGGGCCCATCCTACTCCATATGACCTCATCTTAACCAGTTATGTCTGCAACCTATTTCCAAATAAAGTCATATTTTGAGGTACTGAGGGTTAAGACTTAAGCATGTGAACTTCATCATCAACCTGTAACAGTCAGCCATCTGGCTCCCCAAATTCATATTATTCTCACTTGCAAAATACATTTATCCCATCACAACATCCCCAAAAGTCTTAAAACATACCAGCATCAAGTCTACTCCAAAATCTCATCTAAATCTTATCTAAATCACGTATGGATGAGACTCAGGCTGATTCATCTTGGGGCAAAATTTTTCTCCATCTGTAAACCTTTGAAATCAGACAACAAGTTATCTGTCCAAAATACAATGAAAGGACAGGCATAGGTTAGACATTCCCATCCTGAAAGGGAGAAATTGGAAGGGGCAAGGGTATGACAGGTCACAAGCAACTTCAAACCTAGCAGGGCAAATTCAGTTAGATTTTAAGGCTCAGTATTATCCTCTCTGGCTTGATGCTGTGTCCTCTGTCCAAAGTCGCAGCCCCACTCTGTCAGCCCTGGGTCGTGGCCCCACACTCTGGAGCCAAAAAGATAGCCTCACCCTCTGGAATTGGAAAGGTGGGCCTGCCTTCTGGAATCAAGGAAGTGGCTTGACCTTCAGGGTCATTCTTCCCTTTTCATGAAAAATAATACCTGTTTGCAGCCAGATATCTCTGTCAGCTCATTTCCTGCCTGTAGAATCTCAGAAGTCTGACAGCTTTCCTTCATTTTATTTCATCTCTGTCCCCTTCAGTCCAAGCTGGCAGCCCTTCTGCTTTGATGGTTGATTGGATCCATAAGTCACAAGCCTCATCTCTCGAGCAAATGGTTGTCCAGCTACACCTTTGATGCTCTCTATGGAGCAATCTTTCTCATTTTTTACAATATGGATAGTGTAGTGGATTGAATTATGTCCCCCCGAAACTCAGTGAAGCTTGAATTGTATCTCCCAAGTTTTATGTATTAGAAACTTAGCCCCCACTGTGGCTGTTAACAGGGTGGAAACTTCTAATATGATAATTGTTAACAGGGTGGAAACTCGCTAATATCCGAATATAGGGGCCTTGAAGGGGTGATTGGGTTGTAGGATGTGCAGTAATGAATGGATTAAAAATGGTGGTGAGGGACGTGGTTCTGAAGGCTTTAAAAGAAGAGAGTCTCTCTGCTCTCTCTGCTCTCTCTGCTTCCACCACCTTGCAACGTGAGACCCCTGAGTCACTGTCGCCACCACCAGATGGACTTTGGACTTCCCAGCCTCAGAAACTGTAAGCAATAAATGTTATTTTTTCTTTATAAATCACCCAGTTCCAAGTATTTTGTCATAAGCAACACAAAACAGACTTAATACAGATAGGCTGAGAATTCCAAATCTTCACATTCTGGTTAACAATTCCCTCTTCAATTGATGTTTCTCCTCTCATATTTTACTATAAGCAACACAGAGAGAGTAGTCCGTGCCTTCGACACTCTACTTAGAATTCTCATCAGCTAAATATCCAGGTTCATTGCTTACAAGTTCAACTTTACATCTAACAGAACACAATTCGGCTCAGCCGTCTGCCACTTTATAACAAGGGTCACCTTTCCAGTAGCACATTTCTCATTTTTGTCTGAAACCTCACCAGAAGCACCTTTTATATTCATATTTTTAGCCACATTCTGTTCATGATGATATATGTATTGTCTGAGATGATAGAAGCTCTCTCTATAGCTCTCCTCTTTTTTTTTCTGAGCCCCCACCAGATTTTCCTTTAAAGTTCATATTTCTACCAGTAGTCTCCTCAAGGAAATCTAGGCCTTTTCTATTGTACATCTCAAAACTCTTTCAGCTTCCACTCAATACCCAATTCCAAAGCCACCTCCACATTTCAAGGTATTTGTTACAGCAGCATCCCACTTCCCAGTACCAAAATATGTTTTAATTTGCTAGGGCTGCTGTAACAAAGTACCACTAACTGGGTGGCTTAAAGAATAGCAATTTATTGTTTTACAGTTCTGGAGACTAGAAGCCAAAGATCAAGGTATCAGCAGGGCTGGTTCCTACTGAGGGCTGTGAGGAAGAATTTGTTCCATGCCTCTCCCTTAGCATCTGGTGGTTTTCTGGTAATCATTGTTGGTCCTTGGCTTGAAGAAGCATCACCCTTATCTTCAACCCTTTGCCTTCACATGGAGTTTTCCCTGTGTGCTTATCTGTACCCAAATTTTCATTTTTTATAAGGATACCAGTTATATTAGACTAGGAGTCCACCATATTGTAGTACGACTTAACTAGTTGACTTAACTAGTTGTTAACTCAACTAATTACATCTCCAATGACACTGTATTCAAATAAGGTTACATTCTGAGGTATTCAGGGTTAGGACTTCAACATATGAATTTGGGGGAACACATTTAACCCATATTTTATATGCCATACTCAGCATGGGCTAATTGAAAATGAGTTTAAAACAGGGAATTATTTTAAAAATAAGCATTTTAATTTTATTTAAATATTTTATTTTAATTTAAAACATTATAGCTTACATTTGTTTACCAATTGTTTGAGCATGGGTCTTTCCTACATAAACTTCATCTATTATGTATATGATTATCAGTTTTGGTTTCTTTAAAGTGTCAGGAAACCCCGGACACTCATAAAGCAGTTAGAATGCAGAATCATTTCTGATTTTAAGATTTTTTTTTTTTATCTCCAGTCTTTTATAGTAGCTGTGCCCAATTGGGCGACAGTTTTTGGTTGTAAATAAGTGAATTTATTAAGAGTGCTAGATATAAGGTCATATTATGCCTAGGTCATTATGATATTATATCTAAAAGTTTGTACAGTTTTTTTCTCTGTTTTTTAATTTTTTTATGTTCTCTATACAAATCATGTATTCTGCAAGTAATGGCAGTTTACTTCTTCCTTTTCAATTATTTTTGCTTTTTATTTGTTTTTCTTACATTATTATACTGGTTAAGTCCTCCAGTACAATGATGAATAGAATTGTGGCAGGGAGAATCCATGTACAGTTTTGATCTCAGAAGAAAATTTCTTAAGATTTCACCATTGAGGAATTTGGTGAATAATTTATATCAGGTTAAGTAAATTTTCTTCTAATCCTAATTTGCTTCATTTTTCTCATAAATGTGAGTTGAATTTTGCCAGATGTTTATATTGAGTCTATTGACTTACTATTTTTTACCTTTTGTTCTTCTCATGTAGTTAATTGTTGATTAATTTCTTGAATGTTAAATCATCCACGGATTTCTATCATTAATTTTACTTGTTTATGATGTATTATCCTTGTCATACTCATATATTAGTAGATTTGATTTTGTGATATTTTGTTTAGCATTTTTGCATTCATGTTTATTACATAGATTTTCTCTCTTGTAATACCCTTGTCAGGGTTATATATCAAGTTTATGCTGGTCTCGTTAAAAAGAATTGGGAAGAGAATGTGTAAAATTTGTGTTATTTCCAAATGTTTAGATAGAATCTCCAGTGAAACCATCTGGGTCAGAGGTTTCCTTTGAGGGAGCGTTTTGAATAAGGGACTCAATTTCTCTAATAGATTTTGGAATATTCATGTTTTCTATTTCTCCCTCTGGCAGTATTGTTTTTCAAAGTATTTGACATTCACATCTAAATTGTAATATTTATTGATGTAAAGTTGTTTATAGTAGTGTTTTTATTGTTTTTCATCTTTTTGTAAAATCTATAATGATGTGCTATTTTTTGTTCCTGGTACTCATAGTTTTGTGTTTGGGGTCTTTTTTGTTTTCCCCCTGGATCAGTCATCCTGTACTTTTCTTAGCTACTTAAGCTAGATTCTTAAATTATTGATTTTTGGTTCTTCTTTTCTAATATATGCATTTAATGCGATAAATTTTTCTCTAAGTACTGCGTACTACTTTATCTGCATTCTACTTTATTCTCAGTCAGTTAAAAACACTATTTTAGTTTCCAGTGTGATTCTTCTTTGACTCATAGGTTATTGTGAAGTATATTTTTTAATTTCATGAGGATTTTCTAGTTACCTTTTTGTTATTTTTTCAACTTATCTCCACTCTGGAGAGAGAAAATATTCTGAATGATTTTCATTTTCTGAAATTTGTTAAAAGACTTTCTTCAGGCAAACATATGATCAATTTTGGTAAATCCTTCATATGTACCTGAAAAAAAGTTTTAATTCTGTAATTATTGTGTGTACTATTCAATACATGTCAATTAGGTTCAATTATGTTAATTGTGTTGACCATATTTTTTATATACTTACTGATTTTTGTCTGTTTTTTCCATCAGCTAATTGAGACAGGTGTGTTAAAAATTTCCACTGTGATTGTAGATGTATTTCTCCTTTCAGTTCTGTAAATTTTTGCTTCATATATTTTGAAGTCGTGTTACTGAGTGAATACAGATTTAGGATTGTGATATCTCTGTGATACATTGACCCTTTTGTTATTATGAAATGTTCTTTTTTTCTCTCTCCCAATTTTTTCTGCTTTAAAGTCTACTTTGTCTAATACTAGTATACCTATGCAAATTTTCTTTTGATTAAGTTTTGTATGGCATATATTTTTCATTTACTTTGAACCTCTTACTTTGAACTTCTTTCTGTCTTTATATTTAAAGTTGTCTCTTTTAAGCAATATATAGTTGTTTTTTTAATCTGATCTGATAATCTTAGTCTTTTACTTATTTATACCATTTACATTCAATGGTATTAATGATATAGTTCTGTTTATATCAATATTCATACTGTATGTTTAATCAAATAGTTTTCATTATTCAATTTCCCCTCTTTTATTTTGATAGTTACATAATTTGTGGTTACCCATATTATTTGGTGGTTACCTTCAAACATGAATACCTGACTTATTATAAATACAAATTATATCATTTTCCTGATAATACTGGAACCTTAGAACACTTCAACTTCATTTATTGCCATTTTATTACTTTTATCTTACATTTTAATTCTATATATATTTTAAACTCTATGAGACATGATTAGTATTGTATGGTTAGTATTCATTTATATTCATCCACATATTAATTTCTTTATGTGCTCTTCATTTCTACCTTGTATTTCCATGCTTCTCTCTGAGATTATTTTCCATGACTGAAGAATTCCCCTCAGCATTTCTTTTTAATGTGGCTTGCTGATGACAGATTCAGTTTTTGTCTGTCTGAAAATATCTTCATTTCTAAAAGATATTTTAACAGTATACAGAATTCCAGGTTACAGGGTCATGTGTTGTTTTTTACTTTCAGCACTTTAAATGTGTAATTCTACTGTTTTATTGTATCTACTGTTCTTGTTAAGAAGTCAGGTGAATGTCTTATAATTGCTCCTTCAAAAGTATTGTATCCTTTTTCTCTAAGTGCTTTTAAGATTCTTACTGTATTTAATTTTCAACACTTTAAATAGGATGTGCTGAGAAGTGGCTTTCTTTGTTTTATACTACTTTGGGATTGCTGAGCTTCTTGAATCTGTAAATTTATGTCTTTCATCAGTTTTGGAACATTATCAGCTATTGTCTCTTCAAATATTTTTTCTTCCCCATTATCTTCTCTCTCTGTGATTCCAATTACACGTTAGCACTTCTAACTGTGAGCAAATGTTTCTTACACTCTATTCTGTTTTATTCATATTTGTGTGTGTGTGAGAGAGAGACAGAGAGAGAGAGAGAATATGTATAAATAAATAGAGAATTTCAAAAGAGAACATCTAAAAGAAGAATCAAGTTGGCTTCCTAGAATTGAAAAGCAGAGTAGATGAACTTAAGAACTGTGGTGCAGTAAAAAATATACTTTATATTTGTCCCTGGTTCCTGGCAGAGAGTTTCAAAAAACACTTGGAATTTCCTTGTCCATCTTTTCCTCTGTTTTCTTGAACATATTAATCATAGTATTTTGAAACATGGCCTTTTAACTCCAATGTGTAGATTACCTGTTGGTACAATAACAGCCAGTATAACTATTTAAGAGCTTGTGTGAACCAACATTTTAATTCAGATTGTAGATAGTCAACTTAAGGGATTCCAGGTGCTCTCTGTTAGCTTTTAAAATGCAGCTGAAATCCATCAACTCACTGAAAAATTAGCAATGAAGAAATAAAATGTAATAAATGGGACATTAAAACCTCTTCATTTCATTCTGTCGGTAGTATTTACTCCATAAACAGAGAAAGTGAAGCACACCAAAGTTAGATGAATCATTAAAAATTATTTTTAAAAAATATCTTCAGTATCTTCTCCTAAGAAAAGGGGAAGGCACCATAGGAAAGATTTTTAAGGGGGCCGGCCCGGTGGCGCACTGCTACAGTGCACCGCTTGGGAGCGCGGCGGCGCTCCCGCTGAGGGTTCGGATCCCACATACAGACCAGTTCCCGCTCACTGGCTGAGCGAGGTGCGGGCGCAAAACCGAGGTTTGCGATCCCGTTGCCGGTCCCGGTCCGGTACGGTACGGGCGCGACACTGAGGGTTGCGATCCGTTGCCGGTCACAAAAAAAGACAAAAAGGAAAAAAAAAAAAGATTTTTAAGTAATGGCTGTTTCCTGAAAAGTATTTGCTGATTTGAATTAATGATCTAAAAAGACATTAGCATTTTTATCATTATAAACTGTTTCTAGTTTGCTTGTATTACCAACTTCATACAAAAAACTTTATATTCTTGTCCTTTTTGTATAATGTCTTCTGCTTATCTTAGGCAGAAGACTTTGAAAATATTTATTCACCTTACTGTATAGAGCATTTAAATATACAAAGCAAGATGACTTACATTACCTCATTTGATCCTCAACTTCCCTGTGAGAGAGGAGAGTATAATTATCTCATATTTATACGTAGGTTCACAAAGGATTATATATAGGATTTATATGTGTGTATTAAGTATTTTTAATGTCTTTGCATGAAAGACACTTTATACAACTATAATAATATTAACTATAATCCTGTTATAGATGAGGGAATGACATACAATATAATCTATATGATTTTTATCTGAAGTCAATAAATTGGTAATAAAGGCAATGTTAGAGTACGACTTATAGCCTCTGACATAATTTTTATAATACATATCATATGCATCTTTATCTTCCCTTTTTTAAGCCCTCTTTACCCTTTCTAACCTGTTACCTTCTAGTCTTCATTTTTCATTTTTTTTGTCTCTCTTTTTTTAATTCCCTCAGTTGGTACTCAAAGACATTGTATAATACTACTTCTGTCATTTAGCCCCTCACCTTTAAGACATTTATATCATACAAATGAACGATTTATGTATTCCATTGAGACTCTACAAAACCACTTTTTAAACAATTTGTATAATATAATGGCGATGCTAGTGTTTGAAAAACTATTTCTTCTAATTCATTCCAGATGAAAAAAAATCACTTTATAATCACACTTTTTAAAAAGTATACACATGATGCTTAAGCATCACAAAATACAGGTAATTTATTTATTTTCCAGTTATTTAGATTTATCTTAATGTTTTATGTTTATTAATTTCTAGAAATATGTTTTCATTAATCAAAAAATAGATAAACTACAACTATAAAGTTTTTACTTTCCAGAATTTTATAGTTACATGGTGCATTCGTCCTTCATGAGTGCTACTTCTTTTTAGGTTGCTCATAATTGACTATTGGAATTAAGAATACTATTACAACATATATATCTATTGATAAAATAAGTTGAGAAATATCATGTGGCATAATAATTTGTTTCAATTTATGCCTTTAGTTTTGGGAATGAAACAATAAGAAAATCTCATCACAGCAGTATGCTAAAAGCCCATAAGGTAGAAATCTTTGTAAAAGCGTGGCTCTCCTTAGCTTCAAAATAAGATGCTTCCCCTTTCCTCCATTCATTTTAGTTCAGTAAACAGTTATTGAGCAGCTACTATATGGAAATACAAAAACAAGTAAAATAAAGTCTATGCCTTTGTAAAGAGCTTAGTCTGATGGAAGAGACAGACTTAAAAAACCTGTAATTTCAATATAATGTGATGAATGCTGTGATAGAAGTTTATTCATGATGCTATAACAGCATATACAAGGAGCACTTAACCTTGACAAGAGATTAGGTGAAGTTTTGTTGGAAATAATGCCTGAACTAAATTTTGAAGGCTGAATAAGAGTTAACTAGGCAAATGAAAAAGATCATAGGATTGTACCAGACAGAAAGAAAAGCATGAATGTTTGAAGCAGCATGGAGCTTATTAAAAAACTATTAAATGAGGTTCGAGAGATAGACCAGATTGTTTTCCATAATTCTTGACAATGAAAACTAGGCCATTGCAGTAATTTTTAAGTTTCCATCACAGAGAATGAAAATATTTTCATTTTTAGTTGATATTTAATAAAGTTAAATGTTCCCTTTTATGCAATAATCCTTAAAAGAAAAGTTAAGTCTATTGCAGTATTTGAATTATATTATGTGTGGGTTTTTTTTTTATAATTATGAGTGTATTTAATGCATTGCTTTAATAAACTTAACCTGTATACTTTCTAAATTTATTGAATTAAAATAAATTCTGAATAGAACCAAAGAAGTTTTTTTTTTCCATTCAAGTCCCTTTTTTAACCATTGGTTATCTTTTTTTCATCCTTTGTAGAGTTGCTGTACCTCAGCCAAACACTTCTGCACAAACAAAAGGAAATAAACAAGGCATGCCAAGCATCTTCCAATGTATGTTGCTGTTTTATTATTATTATTATTATTATTATTATTATTATTTATGAAAACTTTATGGAACAGTATTCTATGCAGATTACTATTTTATTTGATTCTTCATTTTTGTGTCATACCTACCACTAGTGTGATATAAGTGCTTTAGGTAGATATATAGCTAGTTGTTTTTGTTGCTGGTTGTCATTTATATTAGCTTAGTAATGTCAAAAGTACTGATCAATTTGGTATCATCCCCAAAGTTAAAGTAACTATAAATGAACTTATCAGTTTGTTTCTTTGGTAGTAGTACATCTCTTCGATTAGCAGAAGAATAAAGTAGGAAATTTAATTTTTAATTGATAGTAGATATAGCTAAAACTTAAAAGTAAATTGCATTTTTTTTCTTTGCTATCAGTTGACTGTTTTGAACTTTGTGTTCATTTCTGAAATTATTTCATAATATGGTTTTGTTCTGTTAGGGTGTTCTTAGAGTAATTTGGTTTAAATCAGATTTTATAAGAGATCATCTCTCTGGACTATATTTTTAGCTCATATCTTCTTGCTTTTGGTGTTATTCTTATTTTGTTTTCATTCTCCACCTAGACAGAAATGATACTGTCATTTTATTCCAAACTGTCTTAAATTTGATGTCTCAATGAACCCTTCCAAAGTATTTTAGTATGATTTTTCTTGATTGTTACATGATATGAAATTGGAACATTTTGATCAATCCCATTCTAAAAATGTTTAATCTTTTTTTAAAAGTAATACCTATCTTGGCACATGAATATAGCACCTATCTGTGCTAACCCTTGCCTATTAGATTTATGTGGGTTAGCTAATAATAGATATTTATTCTTTTCTCATGTTATATTCTAGATAGACTGTTCTCTGAATATGTTTGAATATTTTGTCCAGAAGTTTCAATGAGCATTTTAGATGGTTTCATTGAAAAAAATATAATCTTGAGACTCAGAAAAAAAATTTTCCAATTAATCGTAATTGGAAATAGAGAAGCATTATTTAGGAAATAGATTTAAACTGGATTCTAAATTTTAAATGTGATTCTCTGCTGAATATCCAAGAAAGCAATTGAATTCCTATTCTTCAGTTTGTAAGTTTTGGTGATTAAAGTTCATAAAAATTTTTATGATTGCCTAAATTATCTTTTCTTTTTTGCCTTACAGGAAGTAATATGGTACTTCCCACATTTATATAATAATAGTACCAGCCATTTATTGAATATTCATGTGCCAAGCACTGTGCTGAGATTTCCATATACATTTTATCTCATAGGGAGTGATTATTTGAAATTAATCTCATATTTTCCTTCGTATTTCATACTGCTTTGGAAGAAACTTTTGTCTAGCTGCAAGTTTATCAATCACTTCCTAACTGATATAAAAGAGTAGAATTGATTGAGTCTTAGGCTAGAGATAGAAATAAACTCAAGAATAGCCTGCTAGACAAGTAGTAAAAGGAGAGATTGACTTCTAGTCATTGTGGCAGAATGAAAAGCCACAAAATGATCTAGGATCTGCGTCCCCCCCCCAAAAAAAAATGTAGAAAATGAGGGAAAACATTATAATATAAATATATGACCAAGCTCAAAACAAGAATGAAAAATCCCTAGGTTCCAGAAACAAAAAAGGAATGTAAATTTAGTACTGAGTAGGAACCAAAACTAAAACTGCTTAAGAGCATTTCAGTACTAGATAGAGGCCTTAATTATCATGGGCTGAGTTATAATAACCACATGGGAATAAGAGTCTAGACCACAATCCTGCTGCATGTGAAGAAGTAGAACTAATATAAAGTTGGGAGGTTATGCAAGGCCAGAAAAATCATGCCCATCTGTGTGGGGAAGTGTCAAAGTACTTCCTGCATCCCCTGGGCAATGGGTAGAAAAAAGCCACCTGAGAGAAATTGGAATCTCAGGCCTGTGCAGCATGGAGGTATGGTCACAGTTCACATGACTAAAATGGTAAGGACACTGAGCTAATGAATTAATGTGAATATCTCATCCAAAATCAGTGAAATCAATGAAATCAGTGACAAAGGCAAGTGTGAAACTGCCCTAAGGAGAGGCTTATAACCTTGGGTTACATCAGCAATCTGGTTACATCAACAATTTAAATAAAGGTAAACACATTATATTTTCAGATTTCAATTTTAAAAATTAATCCAGTTATAACCTGTAAATAAGAGACATGCTTAAGCAAAATTGTATAGAAAGGTTGAAAATAAAGGAATGGCAAAATATATACCTGACGTATACTAACCAACAGAAAGGTTGTGTAGCAATATTAGTATGAGATGAAATAGAATTTAAGACAAAAACTGTCAGTAGAGATAAAGAAGGACAAGATGGAATATATAGAATGATAGATGGGGCATTCCACCAAGATGATAACAATCGTGAACGTACATTCAAAGGTACTTCAAAAAGTTCATGGAAAAATAGAATTAAAAGACAATATAAATCTTTCCATGAACTTTTTGAATTACCCTCATACATCTAATATACAACATCAAAAAAGGTAAATAACCTGGTAGATTTTTAAAGGAGCAATTGACACACATAGCAAGTGTAATACACTCCTCTCTAAAAGTAATAGAGCAAGGAGACAAAAAATCATTAAAACACACACACACACACACACACACACACAATCACTGAAAACCAGTGATAAATGAAATCCTAAAGGAAGCCAAAGGGAAAAGAAAAAAAAGACACATTCCTTACAGAAGAACAAAAACAAGCATGATGGCCGGTTTCTCTTCAGAAAACATGTAATCCAAAAATACAGTGGAGCAATGCTTCAAAGTACTGAAAGCCAAAAAACTATAAACCTAGAATTCTATACACTGTGAATATAACTTTTAAAAATAAAGACAAACAGAAGCTGAGAGAATTCACCTACGCAATGAAAAATATTAAAGGAAATTTTTCAGGCAGAAAACTTATAATTCCTGATGCAAATTTGGGTTCAAATAAAGGAAGGTACAGCACCAGAATTAGCAACTATGTGAGCAAAATAAAAGATATTTTCTTATTTTAATCTATTATAGATGAAAAATAATAAGAATATATTTCGTGGGATTTCTAGTCTATATAGAAGTAAAATGTATTAAGAAAAAGTGCAGAAACTGGATGGGTTATGGAAAAACACTGTTGTGAAGTTGGTTTTTTTTTACTTTATTGCAAATACAAATATATTTATTGATTGTAATTTATTTGGTGATAAATTAATATTTTACATTTCTTCAGTCATATTTCATAGTATTACATTAGTTTGCATTTTCAGAATGTCAGAGTCTATTTAAGATTGAAAGATTATTGAATATTCAGTATATTTTCACATATATGTATATGAATGACATGAATTTGATTTAAAGTAAAAGAATATATAGAGAGAAAATATATGTATTTTGAATGTATATTAGCAATTTGTCTCAACTTATAGTTACATCATCTCAGTGATTTTGAAGTGATACTTCACAACAGCCAAATATCAAAGAAAACCATCTAGAAGTACTTCTAATTTAGGCTAGAGATAGGAGAAATGATAGGTGCTGAAACCCTTTTTCTGATGGGTGGTACTATATATGATTTTGCCAATGTTATTTGATTCTGCTTACTAGGGGGATAAAAGAGTGTTTTCCACCTGTCTAGCAAAGTGTTCCACATTTTGAATGAATCGATATTTAAATGAATCTGGAGAAGGCACTAATCCTAATGCAAAATATTTAGCATCAATAAAGAGTTAAAAAAAATAAGCAGTATTTCAGTTCAATGGCATTACCTACAAAAACCCCTATAATAGAAATTTTTTTCACAAGGAACCATTTACGATGAGTACCTATAACTGTCAAAGGAAAGAGTTACACACTTTCAAATTCTTCAAGCAGCATTCAAAACAATTGCTTTTCTATGAGAAAGCACATTCTTAACTTTGAAAATAAGAAATAAATTTTCCATTTTAATATAAGGCTGATTTGTGTATTAATTATCTAACCATTTATTCAATGTTTTTTAGAATCTACTATGTGGTGTGTACTTTTACGTAACTGATACTGATGATATTTCTCCTCCTTTTAAGTTGATCTGTATATAGGGAGAAATTGATCCATGGTATTTATTTATCTCTTCAAAGAACCACCTATTGGTTTATTTCTACATTGTTTGTCTATTTTTTTATTTGTTCAGTATAAACTATTATTATTTTATCACTTTCATTTATTTAGAATTTAATATTTATATATTTCTAGCTTTTTAAGAAGGAAGTTTAGAACATTTATTTTAGACTTTTTTTTCTAAAACCAACATTTAAAGATATAAAATTCTCTCTAAGCTTGGATTTAGCTGCTTTACAGAAGTTTTGGCAAGTATGTGTTTAATTTTCACTTAATTCAAATTATTTTCTAACTTCTCTGTGATTTCTACTTTGACCCATTGGTTTGTTTATAACTATGTTGTTTATTTTCCAAAACTTTTCAAATTTTCCCATGCATATTTCTCTTAGTGTTTCCTAATTGAATTCCAATGTGGTCAGAGAACTGCTATATAGGATTTAACTCCTGTTAAAATTTATTTATTTATTTTTGTTGAAACATAAATGATTATACATATTTGTGGGGTACAGAGTTGACTGTTGGTGTTTGTGTACAATATGTGATAATCAAATCAGAATGATTATAGTATTCATCATTGCAAAATGTAATCATTCTTTGTGTCCATTAACCAATTTCTCCCTAACCTCTCTCTCTCTCCCCTTCTCTCAAATCTAGTAATCACAGTTCTGATCTCTTCTAAAATTTCAACACATTATTATTGTGATTGTTCTTTCTTTCTCTCTTGTTCTTTCTTTATCTTTTTCTTTATTTTTTAGTTCCCACTTATGAGTGAGGACATGTGATGTTTTTCCCTCTGTGCCTAGCTTATTTCATTTAACATTATTTTCTCCAATCTCATCCATGTTGCTGCGAATGGCAGAATTTCATTCTTTTTATGGCTG